CGGCCTGTGCCCGCCTGCGCGCCCCCAGCCGCTGCAGCTGCTCTGCGCCGCCATCCTGAGGGAGATGTCGCCCTGCCTCAGCCTGAGCCTGTCCTGCGACCACGTCCAGAGCCCGCGGCAGCTGAGCCTGGTGGCCTCTGTGCTCCTGGCCCAGGTACGTGGCTCACCGCCCAGGTCAACCCCTGGCTCTTGGTGGCCCTGGGTCCGGGGAGAAGCAGCAGGCCGGTGAGCGGTCCCCATGCGGGTGGGCTCAGCTGGGGTTCCCCTCCATTCACTGGTCCTTACGGGGGCCTTGGGGACCAGCGCATGGATGCTTGACTGGCAGAAACACCTGCCCCTGCCTCCCCCAGCTCCCCATCCCTGTGACCCCTCCCGGGTTCCTAGACGCGGAGTGCCTGGGACACGGTGGAGGTAACTCAGGCCCGGGGTTGCCGTGGCGACATGAATAGTCTGTAAGAGGCGGCCCAGAGCGATGATGCTGACAGAGTGGACGGTCACCTTCCCAGATGTTGCTGGGCGCCCACGCCCACCTGGTTTGATTGGCAGGGCGACAGAAAGCAGGTCAGAAACGTGGGCCAGCGCATCTTCAAAGTCCTTGAGAGCCGGCAGCCCGAGGGGCCGAGTCCGAGGCCCCTGCTCCCAGTCGTGTCCAAGGTCGCCAGCCTGGCCCCCGGCACCGTCCATGAAGGTACCCCTTCCTGCAAAAGCAGCTTCTGGCCCGTGCCAGGATAGAGATGAGCCCAGGTGGGGAGGGGGCGGGACGGGGCGCTGAGTCCAAGTGGCCATCGGAGCGGCTTCCTTCCAGCAACACTAGCAGTGCCCGTGCGGCTGAGTGTGGGGTTCACCTGCTCCCCTCGGCCTTGTCCCCGCCCCTGCAGACCAGGCCAACCTGCTCAACAAGAGGCTGGTGGACTGGCTGCGCTACGCCAGCGTCCCGCAGGGGCTCCCCCACTCCTCTGGGGGCTTCTTCACGCCCCGGGCCCGGCAGGTGAGTGGAAGATCTCAGCCTCCGGCCCCCAGGGTCCCAGGGCACCTCGCCAGCCTTGCCCTCAGGTCCCCTGCCTTCCTCTCCTCCACCTGCCGTGGCTCCACGTGGTGGGGGTGGGGAGAGCGGTGGGTCACAGTGGGCCACAGCCCCCGGCCACGGTGCTCTGAGGGTCATGGAGGCCTGGACCTGCTGGTGAAGGTCACGTGCCTGACGGAGGCCGTGTTCCTGGGTGCCCCGCCCTCCCTTGTGCCCGCAGCCGGGTCCTGTCACTGAGGTCGATGGGGCTGTGGCCACGGACTTCTTCACGGTGCTGTCCACGGCCCAGCGCTTCACCGAGGACCAGTGGCTGAACGTGCAGGCCTTCTCCATGCTGCGGGCCTGGCTGCAGCTCAGCGGCCCCGGGGGCCCGGGCGCCCCGGACACAGGTGGGACCTGGCAGGCCCAGG